TCACAGGGTGGCCTGGCACCTGCTCTCTCCTCTGACCTCCCCCAGCCTGGCTCCACCACCCCACACAGCAGCTCTGGGCATCAGAGACAGGCACCTCCCGACTAGATCCAAAACTCCAAGGGTCCGAGCTGGGTCTGACTCTTTGGGATGTTCCCCCAGGCCCCAGGGACCTCGCAGGAGGCCAAGCAGGTGATCAGAGGCAATGGGGACACAGACAGACACAGCACTGAGCTTGCTCGGGGGCTGGGTGGGTGTGGAGCGGGGTGGGGGCTGCAGACGGGCCCACCTGAGGAACATTTTGCAGGCCTGGCAGTTGGTGGTCCTGCCAAACGTGTGCATCTGGAAGCTGTGGTGGTTGGCGGTGGCTTTGTCCGGCTTGATGTTTGACCTGGTGGGAGCAAAAGAGCTGTGACCACACCGGGACCTGCCCTGCGCACAGTGGGAGGCCTGGGCCCCGAGCCTGGCTCTGCCCTGACACCTGGGCAGACGCGGGGCCCAGGCCCCCTGTGGGGGGAACACGGGCAGGAGTGGAAGCTTTCAGTTGTGCCCTACTGGCATGAGAGAGCCTTCCAGGGTGAGGGAGCGCTCTCCACCCTGATAAGGGCTTGGGCGTGGGCAGGCGCAGGCATTTGTCAAAACCCAGCAAAGAGGTATTTAAGATTGTCCATTTCGTTGTACACGAGCTTGAAATTTCCAAATGTAGACAAATACCGAACTCTACTTCCTGGCGGGCACCCTGAAGTACTTAGGCGGGTGTGGGCCGAAGTCACAATTCACTTGGGTGGATAACACCCGCCGTCAGCTGCAAGAGGACTGGGTGGAGTGACAGGGACACAGTATGGGGAGTAAGGTGTGGATGTGGCCTCTGGACGGCGAGGAGGTGACTGTCTACCACACGTGCTCTCAGCTTCCATGAACACTTGAGAAGTCTCACAACAGAATATTGGGGAGAAAACCAAAACCCATGGAAACTGGCACAGAAAGGAGATGCTGCGGGGCCCCCACAGCCTGGTGCAAACCGGCTGGCTGCCGTCTATTCTGGGTGCCAGGCCCTGATCCGGTTGTGTCCAGAGGATCCCATTTGATTTTCCCAATGAAGCCGTCACTCGGGCCCTCTACACAACACCATTTCACCAGGAGGAAAAGCCCACCTGCACAAAGGCCCCCAGCCCACCTATCTGCAGAGGCCAAGCAAAGGCGACCCTGCCCCCCGTGCTGCCCTGCAAGGGCGTGTCCAGAGAAACCACTCATCACCTTTCTCTGCTTTACATATTGGGGTGCCTCCTAGATTTCATGAAATACCAGTTCTGTGGGTTTCAGAAAAGGTGTCAAGCCCCAGAGGCCCCCGAGGGAGTCCTCTGGCATCACGGCCACGCCCAGCCAGTCACTGCCCTGCAGTCAGGTGTGCAAGGCGCAGACTCAAGGGCAGCAGGGCCATCCCAGAAGCACACTGAGGCCACCAGGGACAGGCTGTGGCCAAGGATGGCCTCTTGCTCTGGGCAGACTGTTAAGTAGCCGGGATGTCACAGAAGTGGGGCTGGCACCCCAGGGTGAGGGAGCTGGTCTCGGTCTCTGGGCATTATTCAAAGCTTGCCGCCCCCCACCTCATCAAAGAGGTCAAGAAACCACGTCCAGCCACGTGTCCTGCTCCTCACACCGCTCCGTGCAGCCCGGGCAGCGCAGCACTCACATGGCCATCTCGAACTGCTCCATCCACTTCCGCTTCATGTCTTCCGTCTTGCAGAAGAGCTGGAAGCCCTGCTTCCCTTGCAGGTGAATCAGGTAGAAGCCATAGGACCACTGCAGGGCGATGGGGACACATTTGCAACTGGCGCAGCTTCAGGCACAATGGTGTGTGCACACGTGCACTCTGGTATGTGCACACAATGGTAAGTGCACATGTACATACATGCACGGATGTCTGAGTGTGCCGACATTCCCTCACATGCATGTAATTATATATTCATGTGCCTTCACCTGTGCATGCTAGTGTGCTCTCACACACGTGCAACGCATGTGTACTTGTGCCTGCACGTGTGTCTATGCATGTGCACTCATGCCTGTGTCCGAGTGTGTGCAGTGCACTCATGTGAGTGTATGTATGCACAGCACTTGTGCCTCACCTGTGCATGCTAGTGTGCTCTCACGCACGTGCAACGCATGTGTACTTGTGCCTGCACGTGTGTCTATGCATGTGCACTCATGCCTGTGTCCGAGTGTGTGCAGTGCACTCATGTGAGTGTATGTATGCACAGCACCTGTGCCTCACCTGTGCATGCTAGTGCGCTCTCACACATGTGCACGCATGTGCACCGGCACCTGAGTTTACAGTGTCATGTGTGTGTACATGTATATACATGCACAGGTGTTGTAATCTGTGTGTATCTGTGCTGTACCCCCATGCCTGAGTGTGCCCATGCTCTCACACATGTACACACACACACATGGATGTATGTACTGATGCCCATCTTGTGTGCAAGGATGCCCCGCTGCCTGCATATGTGCATGCATGTGTAAGTGGGGCACATGTTTGGAGCCACCCACCCTCCAACGAGATATCCTGGGACCCCCTTCCACCACTTCCCAGGTGTGTCCTCAACTGAAGTCGCTGCTGTTCAGCCAGCTGGTCCCCCGGGACCGTGTGTTCAGAAACCCACCTAGGGCCCTTCCCCGATGCTCACCCACCCACTTTCACTTCCTAAATGTGATGCTAAAAAACTCACTTCTCTGAAGTAAAACAACAGAAAGAAAAGACGGCACAGGACGGCCAGTGGTTTGGGAGCCTTCATGTGCTCTCTTCCCGGAGCAGGCAGGGTGCACCCTCGGCCACCCATAGGCTTGGAGCCCTCGGAGAAAGGGCTTTCCAAGGGGTCCAGGTAGACAAGTTTGGAAAGGATGAGGCCATGGGTATTAGGAAGGATGGAGGGGAAAAGGGAGGGTGGGGTGGAGAGAGGAAGGGAGGGTGGG